TCCGACTTTACAACGACACCTATTTGCTATTTTAAGCCAGCCATCTATATTTTGTGGTATTGAAGACATTCAAACCTGAAAAGAAGTATGTTTGGTTAACATTCCATAAACAAAAGCTAATGGCCATGGTCGGCTTCGCCAAACCAAAAAATGCGTTATTTGGGCGTTGATGTGTGAGGAGATGAATAAACATTATTAGTTAAATAATTCACAAACATAATCTAACAACGACAAATGGATACCATGTAGCATGCTATGCCCAGACTAAGACAAAACATTAATGATGCAAGCAATATAAACAACAATAGAAAATTTATTATAAGAGTAAGAAGCAAAGATCTATAAGCTTTCTATAGCTAAAAAATAAGATATAGTAATCTACAAATATATAAAAAATACTTGTTCCAGCATTATAAGGCGATTTTTGTTTGAGAAACGATCAACTTATCTAATAAATTCAGTTGCTGTATCATTCCCGTCAGCCATATCTGGTACGCAAAGTCTCCGTAAAACTATTTTTTAAATTCGTTTATTTACACGAGTTACGTGCTGATCAATTAACGAGCTGTATAATTAATGCACATATTCTTGTGTTATAGGAATAAAAACTTTTCATTCAGAGCTATATGTTGAATTAAGGTGTATCCGATATTTTAATTTTAATTTTAGTTTATACAGCATATTACGCAATTCTCATTCCTTATCTTAAGGAACACCTTTTATGTTTCGAGGTCCGACCCTTCCCCTTCCGTACTTAATTCCTTAGAGTTCTCGTATTTCCCATTTTAGAATTTTTCAAGTAATCACCCCGCGTAACAATCACTAAATTGGTAAATGAATCGACTATTACTCAGAAAATAGCAATAACTAAGAACCATTTTTTATTTTAACGATATGTGGCTTTAAATTTTATCTGGGTTAATTTGATATGTGATTGTAGATTCTGTCTTGTTATCATCTGTCATGACGATTTATAATTAAAATTTCGACCCTTCACTATGACAACGAAGTGGACATCTACTAAACTACGCGAAGCCTTTATCGAATATTTCAAGACAAGCAATCACACGATTGTGGATAGCTCGTCTGTCATACCACAC